TGTGAGCAATACATTGCCGACGGCTATTCCCGCACTCGTGACCAATTGTCAACTTTCCGCACTTGATACACAATATACTATATATATATATATATATATATATATATATATATATAATTTATACAATATATACAGTGTTTCCTAAGTATAAAAAATTTGAAGAGATATTCCTTGTTTTACTTTCATTTTTAAAAAATCATAAAAGTATGTGCCCTAAATATCTTCATTTTTAAAAGAAAGAATGTCAAAGTTGTGAAAGAAATATGAAAAATAAGCACACTTGAATTGACAGCACACTTCGAATCTTCAAAATACCAAACAGAATAAAGTAGGTGGCTTCTTGATATACACAATTATGTTTTTAATTTACAGTTTCTACAGTTTATAATTACAATTTTTTATCTTAACTCGAAAGCTGTTCATTATTTAAAAAAAATGCAAAAGGTAATTTTTGTAAAGTTCGGGATTTTTTTTAAATTGTTAAAGTTGGAGAAAAACAGTGGCGTACCGTTTTCTCATTAAAAAGTTTAATGTAATTATTCTTGGCGCTAATGAATCTACAAATGTTTTATCACTATTAATTCATATGTTTTGAATAAAATATCTTTAGACGTTTTCAAGATTTCCAAAATTTTCATATTTTTTTAATAACTTTGACATTTTTTAAAAACCAACAGTTTCAGGCATAAATGTTTATAAGCCCTTTTCTTCTATAAAATAAGCCAAGGAATTTTCCCTTTAATTTTCATTAGTAAACATTCTATATATAACATTATATAAAAATATGATTACGCGCCAAAAATATAATATAACATATATCATAAAAATACTAAAGAATTAATTTATAAATAAATACGAGTCGTGCACAGCGAGAAATGTAACCGGAGGGATATCAGCGTGTGCGAAAAGCTTTTTCTCCTTCGTCAGCATTTTTTCAGCCCATCTGGCCTGATGTCCCGCTTGATCCATCATGTACGCTGTCGAAACCGAAAGCGCGGACGTTGCTGGGGTAATTAATATCCTTTAACGGCCGTGAAAGCTCCGCTCGATGCGCTAATTAAATGGAGTCCGGATCTCTCTCTTTCTCTCTCTCTCTCTCTCTCTCTCTCTCTGAGAGAGCACGCACGTGTCAGCACGCGCATCAGACACGTGTAAAATGCACGCGCGCTGTCTCCTTCGAAGTGGCGCGGCGCGGCGGCTGACGGATCGATCGATCGAATTTGGCAGCTCGAAATTGGGTCGTTTGAACCGAATTCGATAGACCATCCCTCTCTCTCTCTCTCTTGCATCGCTCGGTTTGCTATCAATCCGTGCGTATGAATGGGAAGCCTCGGTATCGAAAAGTCCGCCGTGTTGTTGCTCTTGTATAAAGGGGCGACTACAAATATTAACATTGCGGATTTAATTGACCCGGATACATGCGCACTTTTTGCACGCGCTGCGGATATCTATTTTCTCGGATATAACCGTAGGGAGTATCGCCATTTGCAGAATTTGCGAAAACGGAATTATGGATGTGCTATAGATGTAATTATGTACGAGGTAAAATTACATGAAACGTTATATAACTATATATATATATATATATATATACGTGGGCGTATTTGAAAAAAGTATAACGAGAGGCGAAAGATGAAAGGGAAACAAAGGGACTCGGGTTCAAATTTGCAAATAAACTTGGACTCGAAAACAATATCGAATTATTAAGGTCTATGAACATGTGGAAAATCAGTATTTATGATTATAATTGTACGTCGGCCGGTTAGTTAATTATTTAAATTTTCAACGCGCGATATATGTAACGGCATTTGCCCAACGAAATAGCTTGAAATTTTAATACAATATACACACTATATGTAATAACGTCTGGCATAAACACAAATAGCAGAGAGGGAGAGAAAAATTTAATGGTTTAATTTTTAATATATGTTTTACTATTTGTGGTATTTTTTCATTCCAAATATTTTTGCTGATTATAATTTTGTATATTTAAAATATTTCATATTACAGTGAATTTTATATTATATCAATTAATATAATTCTACGTATAAACATGTGAGTGTCTTGCAAGTTTTTATATTTATCATAAAAATGTTTTCTTAAATTTTTTTACGTTATTTCTAATTTTTAATTACATTTTTTTAACAAACAAGAAAAATTAAAGTGTTTTTCTCTACATTTATAATAGAGGAAAAGTGATTTTATCCGGATAATAAATATACGTGGTAAAAATGAAAATCTCAAATAATTAATTCTCAAATTTATGTACACACAATAGCGATATGAAATTACAATTTATGTGCATATACATAATAATATTTTAATATTTAAAATTAAAAAGCGCGCGTATGACTTTTACTTAAAAGAGAAAAAAATTCTGGAAAAAATGTGATTGTCAAGCGATTAAAAAGCTCGACGGAACCTTCCTCGTCCGTGTGTACACGGTTTTAACACTTTTAATACTCGCCGATGCGATGAACCGTCATGAATATGCGTATTAAGCTCGTGGAAAACACGAATGGGAGCCCTCTTAATAGAATTTAATCTCATCAACCCCGCTTCAGTGTCGAACTTATGTGGGACGCATGCGAAATAATTAAATGTTCTGCAGCAGTTGCAGCTGCAAAATTAACGATTTTTTTCGCGCGATGCACTAAACGCGCCTGTATAGAAATTCATATAGTTATCTCATAGCTTTGCATCTATACTAATCCAGAAATTCCCCATCATGGATGCTTCCCCGAAAATACGCGCATACGCGTAAGATATACGTTAAATTATATATTGATATATACGTTATATACGTTATATATAGTCTTTGACTTCATAAAAATTACGATCAAGCTGAATTTTGTTGAGACCTTTATTTTAATGTTCTAATAAAATCCTGAAAAATACCATTAATTTCATCCAGGGTGTTTTTTATAGGGGGTAAAAGGGGATAAATTTTAGTTTCTTGCCACTATCTCGAAAAATATCATTTTTACGAGAAACATAGTTATTACCAAAATTGTAGCTCATAAAATTCTCTACAAAAAGGATTTGTATACTTTTTTCGTGGAATTAACCGTTTCGAAGATATAGAGTGATTTAAATCAACGATTATATGTATAGACATTGCAACTTTACCGCACGTTTTACTCAAAAATGAATTGTACGAAAAAAGTATAATAACCTTTTTTTGTAGAGAATTTTATGAGCTACAATTTTGATAATAACTATTTTTCTCGAAAAATTGATAGTTTTCGAGATAATGGCAAAAAATCAAAATTTATCCCCAATAAAACGCTGTAGATAAAATTAAGGGTACTTTTCAGGATTTCATTAGAACGTCGAAATTAAGGTCTCTACAAAAATTCAGCTTAATCGTAATTTTTATGAAGTTTTGCCCTTTTCAAGTCTAATTTTACTGGACTAATATAATAAATGCTTAATTATGCATCTCGAGCATAGAATCACGAATGCAGTTTACTCGAATCTATATATCTGTGCCTGATGCTCCTTGAAGAAGGAATTTCATAAAAGTGCAATTTGTTCAATTTACCAATGGAAGAATTCCGCGCGTGAGAAGCACTACAAAAAGGAATGAAATAATAAAACGCGCGTCTCTCTCTCTCTCTCTCCTGAATTCCATAACGCGTGCGGCACTATGCATAATGCCGTTTTGAATTACATCCGATATAGGTAGCGATTTTTAAAAATAAATGAATAAGGCTCTCTCTCTTCAGCAAAAATTATTAAATAAATTGTATAGATATCCTTCAATAAATTTTATCAAGATATGCGTAATATATATTTATATAATCAAATATTAATTAAATAAAAAGTGGCTATTTGGTAAATCTTTTTAGCGATTTCTGTCAATGTGAGATGATATAACAAAGGCTTTGACGTGTTTGTTCTTCCGATAATGTTGTGTTTATAAATACACAGCGCCTAATCAAAAACGGGATCAATAAAAATAAAAAGTGACTAAAGAGAAAATTTATAAAGACCACAAAGGCAAATTCACCAGACAATATCGCACCGGTTAATAAAACATTAGTGCATTAAATTATCACCAGTAAAAAATAATGAAATTTCGAATATAAATGTCGGCTTCGATCGTTACAAATTGTACAATTTTAAAAATAATAATCGAAATAAAAAAATCCCACCTCGACTATCAATAGATTAGCAATAAAATGTAAATTTGTACATAGCCATTTTTTAATAAAAATGTGCGATGCGCAAATTCGTATTATTTATTTTTGTTTTTTGTGATATTTAAAAATAAAATTTATTAAAGTTTAACTGAATTCATACTTTAATAAATTTAAGCTGTTCTAATGCAGTTCTCGAATATGTTTATAACTAATTTTACTCGATAAAAACATAATCTATCTACATATCTATTTTAGACTAATTGATTTTCTAGTGTTCTGTCTCTGTATTCTATTACAGTTTTATATAGTTCTAATCACATTTTTCATTTTTAAAGAGATCTACAATAATAATTAGTTACGTTAATTAATTTTTAAATTAATTCACCTCAATATTATCTCTGATTAAAGGTATACTCGTACATGTTTTCTAACGTATTTAATAGAAGGCTGGTCGATTTTCGATAGAGAATGTCTCATTTATTTTATCAGTCTTTCTATATTCCTAATTATATTATTTTATTTCCTAAATAATAAATAATATTAAATATAATTCGAATTAAGAACGCGCAGTAAAACAATGGCAAGATATATTGAATAATTAAAATATCGATAATGTGCAATTTGTGATATATTAATCGTATAATATAAATAATAATTTATCCATACTTTAAAATGCTCGTATAATTTAATATTCCGCGTAGATGTATGTACCTATTATGTTAGTACGTGAAATATTGCGACAACAAAGTATCCATAACAATCAATAGTATGCGGCCTTGATAGCGTCTAACATGTTATTGTTGACGTCCTTCGACTCTCAAGTATCAGCTGTTATCATTCATGTGCCGTCGACACTCGAACAGGAAAATAGATTCCAGACGCTCTCCGTCGAACTCCTATTTTAAACGCGATTGCGACAACCAACGGGAAATAATTTGCTCTGATTAATACAATTAATAAATTATTATAATTTAATTATTAACATATAATCCCTAATGAAAAAAGTCATGTTTACCCTTGAAGTGCGTGTTCGGAATCAAATATATCGTAAGTATTGCTGCCGTTTTTCCGCGTATATAATTAGCGGTCGATGCTGGAGGTGTGTTTTTACCGACCGAGTGCGAATATTTAGTTTTTTTTTAATATCTTTTTATTGACTATATTGATCAATAAATCCTTTTCCACGATTAAAGTACTTATAAAAGCGGACCGCGCTAGCTATAATTGCATATATAAATCATATAAAAATAAAAAATTACAGTTTTGTTGTCGGCTTCTTTTGTGTCAGTTCGTAACAATACTTATTTAATAAGAAAAGCGATAAAGATAGCATAAAAGAATATTAATGAACAATTAGAAGTGAGATTACAAATCTAATAAAAAAGTTATATATTAAAAAATTTCACGCATATGTATGCATGTGTATATGTGCATATGTGCGGTTATGTGTGGTGCTAACCTATCGGAGTTCGACCTATTTTCATTAATTATTAATAATTTATCTAAATACACGTTGTATTAATTAAAGAGAAATACCAAAAATATATGTTCAAATTAAATTGATTAATAGAAACCTATCGGAATTCTTTTTAAATGCTTCGTGTGTCGTTACCAATCTCTTCGCTCAAGCGTTCTATAAGCGCTGCGATCGTATATATAAGCCCCTGAATATCGATACAGGGTTAGTATAAGAATAGTAATCGACATCGCTTTATTTTTCTGTGTCCGGTCATAATAAAGAAATTTAATTGTCGCTAAAATTTCATGATTCGAAGTTTCAACCGCAAATAAATTTACTATGTTTCGCACTTTTAAAGTGCTGGTCGCGATGATTTTTGTGATGATCGATGCGCAATTGCAGAGGTAAGTGCATATTGTATTACATTATGAAATAATAAATATTGAGATTATAGAATTCGAAGCGAAGCTTGTGTGAATGTAATTAACGTTTCAATAACGATTCGACAAAATTATTTTACAAAAATGTATTTTTATTTGTTAGTAAAAAGATGGAGACATAAAATGTTATAGAAAAAGTGATTCTTTGTGAATTCGCAAAATTTGTCTGTCTACCTTATAGTTTTGGTCTACATTCAATTGTCATTAACGTACATGTATTATAATTAGAGATCAAACCACTTATAAGTATAAGTTATTTTTTTCACGCGTAAGCAAATAAACTCTCAGTACCAATGCGTTATTGTTTTGCAATGTTTGTTTTCTGAGCCCTGTGTATATATTCTGCTTTTAGAATATTACTTTATTTGGAGTTATCTTCTTGTACCAGATTGCACGCAATATGTTTTTGTTCTAAAAGTTAAAGTCTTTTAAGTTATAATGACTATTTTATATATATAATATATACATGATTCATAAAGTAAATATTATTTCAAATATATAGGAAACGCATAAATTATATAATCTAAAAAAATCGCGGAGTTAATAAATGTTTCTGATATAACTAATGTATAAATTATTTATATTGTGTAAAATATGTAAAATAAGACTGAATGTTCTTTATGTTATTTCAAGGATTTCATTACATAAGATGGATTCTATTCGACACACTTTAAAGAAGGTTGCCACTGACATTCCAAAAGTTCCTATAATCGAAGCTAGCATTAATCCTAGGGTGTCTTTATACAAATATGTAGATGGTCCGTATTATGGTAAAATTACTATTGGAATTCCCCCGCAGGAATTTAAAGTAATGTTTTCTCCTGGTTCCACAAATCTTTGGGTACCATCCAAAAAGTGCAACGCTTCTTACTTTAGTCGTTTTTGCTGTAAGTAATTTATTAATATATACACGGTGTCTGATATAAGGTGTCACACCGAAAATATACAAGTAGATCTTGTTTTATTTGGAGACAATTTTTCCTCAGCAAATATTTACAAAATTTTTTATTTTTAAAATTTCCCTATTGCGATAATTTTTTATATTACCTTCTATATTTTTTTACAGCAACGCATAACATATATGATAGTACAGAATCCAGTACATATATAGAAAATGGTACTGAGATTGAGATTCCGACTGACAGTGGCTTTATTAAAGGATTTGTATCTACTGACGTAGTGAATGTAAGTGATCATTAAACAAATAGGCCAATTTAATCAACTATAATTGTAGTTTATGAACACTTTTCAAGTATTTTTATACACTGTCATTCTCGTGATATTTTATTATTAATAAATCAATTTATTTGTAGATTGCCGGTTTCAATGTTCAAAATCAAACATTTATGGAAGCAACAAACGTGCCAGACCTTGCGTTCTTTGATGCACGTTTTGATGGTGTTTTGGGCCTGAGTTATTATACGATATCCGTCGGAGGAATAACGCCTGTGTTCTACAATATAATACATCAAGGCCTAGTGTCAATACCCATTTTCAGCTTTTATTTAAATAAGTATATATTTTCTTATGCATTGCATATGTCTAAAAATGTTTTTAACAAATAGTATATTGTGTATCAAGTGCGGAAAGTTGACAATTGGTCACGAGTGCGGGAGATGGACGCACGAGCCGAAGACGAGTGCGACCACCCCACACGAGTGAACAATTGTCAATCCGCACGTGATACACATACTATTTTGTATTACAAGTGCAGGCAAAGTGGCTGTTTCTGCGCGTTTTCTGTGCGCGAGGCGGCCGATCGCACGCCGCCATCTTGCCGCGGCACGGTAGGGGAATAGCCGTGTTCAATACATTTCCTACGGCTTCAGCCGTATACAATGACTTTTAACGCGGCTGAGCCGTAGATAATGGCTTTGAACGCGGCTTATTCACTCACCGCGTTGCCGCTAGATGGCGGCGATGGAAATCGGCCACTTCCCGCACAGAAAACATGCACCGAAAGTGCCACTTTGCCTGCACGTGTAATACAAAAATATATATATTACAATATGAAAAATATACGATCTGCGCAGAGATATTCCGGATAATGTCGGTGGTGAATTAATATTGGGTGGTACCGATCCCGCTCATTACAAAGGCGAGTTGACCTATGTTCCTGTTACTAAGAAAGGATTCTGGCAATTTAATATGAATAAGTACGTTATTTTCTAAATTATTCTCATAATCGTGGTTACAACAAACTGTTAATATTATTATTGTGCTGTAGGATCACAATATTTAATTTTACTTTGTGCAAGGATGACTGTCAAGCCATCGCTGGTACAGGCACCTCATCAATATTAGGACCATATTCGAACATCTCTATTATTAATGACCTTATTGGAACTTATCTCATTAATGGAGAGTATTTCGTAAGTAAACAATTATGCTTTTCACAATGACACAGCTTTCTGTAGGAAAATTATAAAAAGTTACTAGAATATAAATTGATATTTGTGTTGTGAGTTGCCATTTCTTAATCTGATATTCTCTTTTGTTTAAAGTTAAACTGCAACAAGATTAACTCTCCTGAGATGCCAGTAATCAGTTTCTCTATAGGTAATAAAGTGTTCAGTCTTAACAGTCAGGATTACATCCAACCGGTAAATAGTATAGATCCTATAATAGATTTAAATCCAGAAATGATTGTCAAATCGACATTGATTTGACAATTATTTCTGGCTAGGAAATTATTTAAATTTAAAAAACTTACATTTTTTGTGTGTGCTTCAATCTATACAGATATCACTAAATCGCAAGATATGTAAAAGCAGTTTTGAATCGAATCGCGCTATCGATAATTTGTGGACTCTAGGAGATATATTTCTTACCCGTTATTATAGCGTGTATGATTCTGAGAAAGACCGAGTGGGATTTGCCCCAGCGAAATAAATGTCGATTGTTATTTCTTAGATTTATATAATAAGACATCGCATTTAAATGATAATGTCGCGATTAATTTAGTTACTTTTTTATAGTTTGATAATATTTATTGACTAGTCATTTTCTATTTATAGTTATGTAATACATTAAAAACGGATTTATTCGTTTTGGAGAATTAAAATGAGGATATATATGGAAAATATTTTCTATTCATTTGATATATTTTCTTTTAAGACACGCACTGTATTGTTCTATTTCTGAACAAATAAATTTAAAAAAATTTATTTTCCATATACTTTATATATGTACACATATATATGTTAATTATATATATATATATATATATATATATATATATATATAAATTTCACTGATATAATTATAGTTTTCTCTTAGATCTATTTTTTTACAAATTTATCCAAAAAACTGTTTGTTAATAATAAAATCAAACTTCAATGTAAAATAGAAAGTAAATAAATTTCAAGATTTCTTTGACAAATAAATTTTTCAAAAGTAAAATAAATGATTTTTTTTCTTTAATAAAATTGTTATTATATACATTTTCCAGTTTTTTATTTTTGTAATACTGATTTATTTAAGAAATTTTTTCTCTAATTCGAAATTGCACAAAAACGCGATATTTCAATAAAACTACAATAATGAGGCAAAAGCGTATATTTATATAGACAAAGATAATTAAAAACAAAAGTGATGAGTGTACAGATTTTATCGTATAATATATAAATAAATGAAAAAATAACAGAATAATTAAAATTTTTCAAAGAGATGATAGTCAGCTATATCCAAATTGGAATAAAAATTCATCAAAGTAAAAAAATACCATATCACATTACGTTGTGTAAAACTTTCTCTCCCTTCGTCAACTGATATAAAGTTTACATATCATCAATATAAATTTTTGCATAGTTTATATGTGTATATTATTGTTATTTTTTACTGGGATTGCTTTTTCATTTAATTATTAATAATTTATCCAAATATGCGTTGTATTAATTAAAAAGGCATACCAAAAATATATGTTCAAATTAAATCTCTATCGGAATCCTTTGTAAATTCGTGTGTTGTTACCAATCTCTCCCCATTCAAGCATTTAATAAGCGCTTCGCGATCGTATGTATATAAAGCTCCTGAATGTCGATACAGGGTTAATATAAGAGTTAATAAGCCAGTAATTGACAACGCTTTATTTTTTTGTGTGTCCGGTCATAAGAGAAATATTCGTCGTTGGAAATTTCGTGATTCGAAGTTCCAGTCGCAAGTAAATTCGCAAACATGTTTCGCATTTTTATGCTGATCGTCGCGATCTTTGTGATGATCGACGTGCAATTGCAGAGACAAGTGCATATTGCATTGCATTATATGATATGATAAATATAAAGATTATGGAGATAATTCTTTTTTTTGTATTTGCATCTCACAATTGCATGCAATACGTTTCTGTTCTAAAAATCAAAGTCTTAAGTTATAATGACTTTATTTTAAAATCAAACATTTGCGGAAGCAATACACGAGCCAAGCGATGCGTTCATTGCTGCAAAATTTGATGGTATTTTGGGCATGAGTTTTAAAATGATATCCGTCAACGAAGTAATGCATGTGTTCTACAATATAATGAAACAAGGCTTAGTATATTATATTTTGTATGACTCCGACAATTTAAAACAAGAGATAATTATTAAGAAAAATAATTTTATTAATACTTTTTTTATAAATTCTATAAAAACCTCTATTAAAAATTAACTTTTAAATGAAATTATTCCATTATATTGCCGTTTATTATTGTACATAGATATAAAAGTTGGTAAAATATTAATTTTGAATGCTGTTATAATTTAAATTTCATATTTCTGTGTTACAGATCAACGTAACTTCAACGTCGTCAACTCCGTTGTTGCTCATTGATCGGTGAGTAATAAACAAGCTTTATTTTATTTAGGGTAATGGATCTGTAAAAATTGTAATTTCAAATAATATATGTCTCGATATATAGAATGTATTCTCCAATAATATAAAAATATGATAGACAAGCATACAGCATGTCATGTAAATCTATTACCTCAATAATTCTCGAATAATGAAGAGTTTGATAAGAGTTTTCTTCTTCGGATCTATTTTAATAGATTTATAATAAAATTTTGTTTATAAAAATATACTGCGAAATAAAATCATTACATTAAATGTTTTATTTATATTTAAAAAATTTTTGGAAACGTTAAACTGTAAATAATATTTGTGGGAAAAATAATATTTTTGAAACAAAAATTAAATAATATTTATTTCATTTTCTTGCACATATAAAACTTCTCTCAATTATTCCATTTATAAAACAGTTTTAAAATACGATTTAATATTCATAAATGACTTGGGTCGTTCGCCAAACGATAGAGGGCTAAAATTGATAAAATATTATAGTATATACAATATGTGACATACACGTAATACAAACGACACGCACATCGTTTGAAAGATAAACGACCCGAAATGTCTTACGATTGTAAACGAGCGTAAATTCACGCTTATCTGACGGCGAGGATAATCAACCGACGGTAGAAGAAATTTATCTTCTTTTTCGATCTTTGGCTAGAAATCAAGCTGAAATAAAAGATACACAGGAAAGGTAGAGTCGGAAGAATTGAACACAAAATACGATGGCAAATGCTGAATATATAGAATTATGTCGGAAACCTCGCAGCATTAAGGGGCTTTTCCCTTATCAATATAAGTGATATTCCCGAGAATGCCTTCCTGTCGCACGAAAGCGACATCGATTTCTTGGATTTGGATGCCCGATGGTAGTCTAGGCACGAATCTCTCGCGTCACACCCTGTCGGCTTCCCGACCCTTGTCTCGAGTCCTTTTCAAAGGATTGTCGCACCGCGTGACACCGTTAAGAGATGTCAGTTCTCTTTCCTCCGTGCGCTTTTGTCTTTTTTTTACTGCGAAAAATCTCGATTACATTCACCACCGATCGAGCGATATTCCATAGTGCCAGGATCAGGACACCAGTGTGTCATGCTTAATATATTCCTTCGGCGTCGATAAAAAATATATTATCCCTGTCATTTTTCCCTCACAATCTGATTTCTACTAAATAAATTAAGTGGATGCTGACTATGACTGTTTTACCGACTTTAAGTTCAAGGACTTTTCTTTTTATTGGCTATACAGATTGAAAAATCCTTCTCCTCAATTAAAATACTGATAATAATGAACGGGGAGCGCTTTAATTTCGTATAAAAAACAATAAAAGTTAAAAAATTACAGTTTCTTTATCGGCCTCTTGCATCAGTTCATTACAATACCTATTTAATATAAAAATTCTTCAGTTTATTTGTGTACAAAATATGGCGCTCTCAATAGAGATAACATAAAAGAATAATACAGAAGTAATAGAAATGAGATAAAAAGCCAGTATCAAAAGATTCGTATTTGAATTAATTATGTATGTATATTTGCGTGTGGAATTGATGTCGAGGCATAAAACAGCAAAAATTAGTTGCCGGACAACGCTCCCCATTCATTATTATCAATACTTTCTATAAGTAAGTAGTATTATCAATACTACTCACATTGTGGAGAATTTTTCAATCTCTATATTCAATAAGAAGTGAACCTAACCTAACTTAAAGTCGGTAAAACAGAACAACGGCAGCATCCCCTTAAGGGATTTTAAATGTATGCTGCTGCTCTGTTTTATCAACCGAGCAATTATTTTTTTTTAGATAGGTTATTCTTTTTATTGGCAGTGTGTACATATAAAATAAGACCAGGACAGATATGACATCGGATGAAAAAATATAAGTGAATGTTTAGATATCAATTTGGAAGCCTAGTAAACGAGAATAGCTTCTTACATTTTCGTGCATATGTAGAGATGAATCCGTCCTGCCAAATATGTCAAATCCGTCCTGGTCTTATTTTGTATGTACAAACTGTCAATAACATATCTAAAAAGAATAACCTATCTAATAAGAAATAATCGCTCGATCGATAAAACAGATCCGTTTAGGATTTCCTTAAGCATTGGAGAAATTTTCTCCACCGAAGATTCTCGGGATTCTTAGGAACATTGTTACGGAAATAATCTAAGCAAGACAGACGCGCACGTTCTATGTATCTTTGATAAATGCTAGAATTAATTTTACTTTCTTGACTTGTCAAACATATTGTTTAAATTTACGAAATTTTGTTCTCCTCTCAGAGCCAATTATTTACAGATTTCAGAATTGATTCCAATGCTATTTCTCTTTTAAATTTTGTGGAATCTAACATGGGTGTCCAAAATGCCTTTATCCTCTCATCAGTAAAAAAATTAATATAAAAATAAAAATAACAAAAAAGTGAGAAAAAAGAAGAAAAAATTTAATTATGTCCCCTTCTGGAAAAAATTCTGCGAACGTCTATGATCGCTAATAAAATTGTTTAACTCTTCGACGAATTAAATACAAATTAAATACGAAAGAAGACGTCTCAACTTTTCGCGAACTTTTCGCTTCGTATAGCAATAATAAGTATTCTTCGTATTCTCGGACCGGTTTCTCGGGAGCTCTCTTTGCATCCTCGGAATCGTAGATTGGCGTACGCTTGTCATTTTAACGGCGTTCTCGAGTTTTTGCACGAACGTGTCTTAGGGAAGGTGGGTGCGTCCTCGTGTCGCAAACGAGAAGCGGATTTCCGCTCGACGGCTTTGTGGCCGGAGGCGACCAATTTCCACCCCTTTCGGCCCTTCTCACCCTCAAGGAGCCGCACGACGTCCCTCGCGTTGACATTGCAAATATTTAACCGTTCCCCGAGACCCTCCTCCTCGTCCTCGGCCACTTCACTGTCCAATTATTCCTCGTATCTGCCCGAGCGATAAAGTCGCGTGCGCTCTTGATTTTCCCTACAGAAAAAAATTTCCCAGAAAATTAGTCCTTTCGCGGCGGTAAAATAGAAAATTATAGTTCTTAATATACGATGTACAACGCGCTGTGAAAATGTGACGTGCGAATTATATGCAACACATAAAGTTGAATAAGGCACTATCTATAGTCTCAAGTTGACGTTACGTGGAGATAACTAGTGATGGAACTAAATATCTCACGAGTTCAAACTAGTTTGCATGGTTTTAAACTGTTGATTATTTCGAACAAAAAATATAATTTTGATAATTTTTGATTATTTGAATCTGTCAGAGTGTTTGTGACGAGTAGTGTAGCAATAAGTAACATAAATATATTTTTTTTTAATTTTAGAGTTTAAATACAACTTGCAAAGAATTCGATTCTTTACAATAAAAAGTAGTTTTGAACCTCGTGAGTACACTATAAAAAATATGTATCATTGTATAAAAAATGTGTAAAATTACATAAATAATAAGTGTAAAATTTTACATTTATTATTTATGTAATTTTACATGCTTTTATGTAATATATTATAAATTATTTACAGTGAACTCAATCTAAAAATTCGAACACAACTATTCTAGATTCGATGACTTTGCAAGTGTACAATAAATGCACAATTTTACATATTATTTATATAATTTTACATATTTTTATATATAATATATTATATATATATTTTTTACAGTGCACTCAATCGAAAAATTCGAACACAACTATTCTAGATTCAATAACTTCGTAAACGTAAAATAAAATATTATTTCTTACGAGTATTTATTCTCACCCTATAGAGATTGAAATTTGATTATCGGATGCGCCTTGAATATTTTCGTACATATTGAACTTGATCCCATCCCTATAGGGATAAACGCGCTGTATTAAAGGATGACAGTGCATTAAAGGGTTTATTCGATCGCGTGCGATTTTCCGAAAGCGAGGAATAATGCCGCGAGATAATTCACGTGGCTTTGGCGCGCCGGGAAAGAGTTTGTTAACGAGCGTAACTACGCGGTAAAGTGCGAAGGCGATGTTGAATGCGGGAGCGAAGCGGAATTTCGCGAGGAGGAGAAACTCTTTGCGCAGCTGCGCCCGGCTTCCGGAAATTCTCGTTAAAAAGTTCCCCCATTTCGTTTCCCTGTTCCGTGCATTTTCCGCGTTGTCCATCGTGCGGAGATACCGCGGTGCACGAATTTTGTCAAATAAATCCCGCTAATTTATACTGTTATTTATCGACATTTACATGCTCGCGTTGATTTAGTAATCACTAATTTGTTGAGAGAATTACAAAACTGACAAACTCATTGGCCCGTGCACTTTTTACACTTAATTAATTCATGAAATTTGGGTTATTTGAAAATTAATAAAATGATTTCTATGCGCTAATCATTCTTTAAAATTTTATTACAGAAGCTGTCTCACGCACCGGTAATCACGCGCTAATATATTTTGCTCAAACTAATTTAAGCATATGATAATATAATAATATATATATATAAGCAAATTTTATGTATCATTGATTAACATGTGCAATTGTCATTACTTTTAATTTGTAATAAATATATATTCTTATATGACAATATGATATATATTAATTATATGATAATATATATTCCTTACAAATTAAAAGCAATTGCACATGTTAATTAATGGTACATAAAATTTGATTTCTACACTGAAAAAAGAGTTCGGTTGTTTTTCGACGAAACAGAGAATTACTGGTTAAATCAACGAGAATTCCTTTTAATGCAACAAGAATCTTGATTAGCACAAACAAAAAATAACCAAGATTCTTGTTGCATTAAAAGAAATTCTCGTCGATTTAACCAGTAATTCTCTGTTTCGTCGAAAAACAACCAAACTCTTTTTTCAGTGTAATTTTTTCAAAATGACATTAGATTAATAAGATATTTTGAATATATAATTAGGAATATTGAATCTGTTTAGAAATATATTATAACATTTTATATTTAGAACAAATATTTCTCTCTATTATTGATATAATCATGATGATACAATAATGATGAAAAGCCTAGAAAGATGAGACGTGTCAAAGACTCAGAAGTATCAGGTTGAATCGATAATTCGAAAATGCGACCTAGATACAATTCCATTCAAAATTTGAACCTAGTACATAATATAATTTAGATAATTATAAATTGTAATAAAAATAAAATGTAACAAAAAGGACGCACAAAAAAAATATTTTATTTGATTAAAATAAAATAAAAATAAAAAAGATAATCTATTTTCCATTCTATTAATTGCTAAAATACATTAACTGCTTTTAAACCTTATGCCAATGCATAACTTTTCACTTTTTATTAATATAGATTAGCAACCCGAATACCAACGTTTTTAACACTGCGGCAATTTTTTTATAACAGCTGCAGGGCATTGACCAAATTTTCCTGTTATATTTCGGGAAGTTTGAATACAAAGACCTTTTGTAATTTTTTTTAACAAAGGAAAATTTTGAAATAAATTTTCAAACAATTTAAAATTGCTTTGGGTACTCTCGAGTATTCGTTTATTGAGGGCTTTATATAAATATATAGGCGTCAGCAAGATTTTTTTCAAGGGGGGGCATGATTACAATTTTTTCTCATTTTTTGTTCTTTTTTAATTTAAAAATATTTTTGTTATTTTATTATTTTCATTTTTTATATTAAATATGCAAATGAATTCCAGTATTTATTTAAAAGAAGAGCAAAAGGAAAACTTAATTTTTTCTACTAATTCCGCCCTCGTTTCTGCAGACGTCTTTGGTACCGATAGAATTTGTCAAAGAAGCAATTAAACTTTTAAGGTTAGGACGCTCAGGTATCCGTTCACCGACAGAAGCGTTCAGATACGACTTTCGGAGACTTTATGGGTGTCTGCAAGATTTTTTTTCAAGGGAGGCATAATTATTGTACAATTTTTTTCTAAATTTTTGTTTTTTTTAATTAAAAAATTTTTTCGTTATTTTATTATTTAAAATTTTTGTTATATTAAATATGCAAATAAATTTTAGTATTTATGTAAAAGGAGAGCAAATGCTTAATTTTTTCTACTAATTCCGCCCTCGTTTCTGCGGACGTCCTTGGTACCGATAGAATTTGTCAAAGAAGCAATTGAACTTTTTAGGTTAGGATACGCTCAGGCATCCGTTCACCGACAGAAGCGTTCAAATACGACTTTCGGAGACTTTATAAGTGTCTGTAAGATTTTTTTCAAGGGGGGCATGATTACAATTTTTTCTCATTTTTTGTTCTTTCTTAATTTAAAAATGTTTTTGTTATTTTATTATTTTCATTTTTTATATTAAATATGCAAGTAAATTCCAGTATTTATTTAAAAGTAGAGCAAATGCTTAATTTTTTCTACTAATTCCGTCCTCGTTTCTGCGGACGTTCTTGGTACCGATAGAATTTGTCAAAGAAGCAATTGAACTTTTTAGGTTAGGATACGCTCAGGCATCCGTTCACCGACAGAAGCGTTTAGATACGACTTTCGGAGACTTTATGGGTGTCTGTAAGATTTTTTTCAAGGGGGGCATGATTACAATTTTTTCTCATTTTTTGTTCTTTCTTAATTAAAAAATGTTTTTGTTATTTTATTATTTTCATTTTTATATTAAATATGCAAGTAAATTCCAGTATTTATTTAAAAGTAGAGCAAATGCTTAATCTTTTCTACTAATTCCGTCCTCGTTTCTGCGGACGTCCTTATGGTACCGATAGAATTTGTCAAAGAAGCAATTGAACTTTTTAGGTTAGGATACGCTCAGGCATCCGTTCACCGACAGAAGGGTTCAGATACGACTTTCAGGGAATCCAATAATGATGGAGAGCCCGCGGAAAGCGGAGAAGTAATTCAAAACGCGAGAGGGCTCGCGGCGAAGTCAAAGTCGAATAAGATGCGCGATCCCGGACTCGAACCAACAACTCTCGCCGGTCGGTTCGCGCGGGAGGATCGATCCCTCCTGCCCTATCGACCACGCCGGGGTGCACTTCCGCCCATGTCCCGTGGCTCCGGAGCGACGCATGCGCAGCCGGCGGCGAACGTCGTCGCCTGACGCCAGTCTGTCGGGGGTCGAAGTGTCGGCTACATCGGGTCGGTCGGTTTTCCTCGCATATAACCGCGGCGTTCCAGCGGCGCTCTCTCACCCTCTTTCGCGGTAATACCTGCGCCCACCTCTCTTTCTCTCTCTCTCTCTCTCTCTCTCTTTCGATCTCCTCGTCACGCGAGATTTGTCGCGGTGCATCGACCAGGTTGTCGTCGGCCAGGTTGTATAAGGTCGGTGCCAGGGAGGGTGGTAGTTTGCGAACCGAGGGGGTATAGAGGGTTATAGCTCTCGTCGAGGGAAGAAACGCGGGGAGGGGGAGGAGGGGGTGGCACACCGCGACTTCGCTCACCACCTTTCCTCGACGGATTTTTCGGTGAGCCGCTTCAACGGGGTTGTTGTTGGTGGTGGTGGTGGTGGTTGGTGGTGGTTAGGTGGTGTGGTGGTGTCTCTCGCTTCTCAAGCAAGCGGGAACCTTCGTCCAGTTCGCGCAGTTCGACGAAACTTGAAATTACTTCGGCGCGTCCGATAAATCGGCGTTATCGGGAAACGATTTACCCTCCCCGGCTCGACGCAAAGTTTCAAGAAATATACGCCGGACGGGGGGAAACAGTAAAGAGAGAGAGAGAGAGAGCGAACGGGCCGCTCCGGATGATTCTGGATCGTCCTGAAGCAATGCGCGAAAGGGAATCCCCTATGAGAGCACCCGGTCTGTTGCGATGAAGAAACGATGATCGCGCGCGTGACTTTCTGGGTCCAAGTGTTGTGTTCCACGATTGGGGATCGTTTAGTGTTCGATTGGGAAGGTGGTGCGAGTCCGAATGGAATAAACGACACGGATGATCCTAATTTTCCTTTCTATCCGCGAGAGTGTTAGGTTAGAAAGGTTCTTGCACAGTGAGATTTTTATTCAATCTAGGTTAATCGAAGATCGGGCTGTTGACTTTCGCAGGAATTTACATTTTCTGCTCCGAAGGGATATACCGGAAGACTTAAGCGGAGAGGAGAAATTCGCTTCTTTTATTTCAAGAATGACGATGCCCCTGTCTTTGTGCCCTTTAAGCATCAAACAGAACGAAGCAGCTGAAGAATTTCCAGTAGTGCTTTTATCGGCCGCAGAGGAAATTTGAAGATCTTTAACGCGATATTTTCACTGGAAGCTGCAAAAATATCAGTTTCTTTAGCCGCGACATTGTTTCTCTCTCAACGAATTAGCTTCGCTTCGGAGATTGTTTGCTGAAAAAATGCATCGGCGAACGTTCCATCCGATCGAGAGACCAGTTCGATGAAAAAAATACAACTCTCGTTAGCTTCGATCCGTCCAATAAAAAGTCTCGAGTGAGATATTATCGCGTATTTTCTCTTCCCTTCAGTATGATTAAAAACCCCGGTGCGTTCCAACTTCTTCGATACATTAAGCACGCCATCGAAAACGAGATTGTCTTTGTGTGAGCGATAAGAAAAAAAGAAGGACAGAGAGTAAACTTGCCTCTAACTTCAGCAAACGCGAAGAAAGACGCGGGTGGAAATAAAAATTCGTTTACGCACGAATATATATACCACTTTGGGAAGTTTTGACGGAGATTTTGTTTTTCCTAACCGGAACTTTCAACGATTAAAATGTTAATCCATCGCGAAAGAGTGCGAAATTACCCCGCGACAGAGTGCATAAATAAGTAGTTCGCTAATGGTTCCGATTAGACGTTCAATGACGTAAATTTACAACGATCCCTCTTTTACGCGTGGAAAACCTCTATTCGTTCAGTGAAGCGACGAGACAAGGAAGGTGGATTTGCAGATCGTTAACGTTTTGCAATTCGACGAACGAAGCGGATGATAATTAAGTTCAAGGGACAACAATAATGTCTCTAATGAGGATACATTGATCTTTTCATCATCGAGTCGACGGAGCATCGACACTTCTGCGATATAACTCTAATCGAATATCCAACTAAGTGTGTAACTAAAGAGATCTATGTACAGAGCAATTACAATTTCTCCAACTCTTTTGGATCTCTAACGTAAAGGCAGATTTGTAATCAATCTGTATAATTCGCAATCATCCTTAGATCAATTGCGTCGAATTACAAGAATTGCGCGAGGACCAATCTATTTTTTTCCGGATCACTTCAATATAAAGGGACACTTTAAAAGGATCATGGAAAATGTAGTGTATCTCATCGCACACGGAATTATTCATCAAGAAGGTTTAATTAAATACAGTATATAGTCCTCCTTTGTTGATACCTAAAAATTATTATTGAGAACAAAGGTCAGGACCACGACGTTTATTTGAAGCAAAGCTTCAGACAGGAAGCTAATCGGAAGATAACAGCTAGAGTTTGATCAGCCCCTCCACTTTTTATCCAAATTATCTCCGATACATTGACTCCGGCAAGATCCAACAAAGTCATCGAACTCTTTATCTCGAGAAAGATTGATGCATCCAGGAGGTGAATCGACTTCGGAGAGCCGCGAGATGGACCAGCTCGCGTACGTCCGCACTTCCGGTGGCGGTTAGGGAAGACGATTAAGGGAGGAGAGTAGACAGAAAAGGAAGGCGGTATGAGAGACGTCGGAGCCGGAGCGAACGAGTGATCGGAGGTGAAGGACGCCCCCGAAGACGTCGGTCAGGATCGCGTCAAGATGACGTCACCGATCCTGACGCTGCTCGGCTTGATCCTGGCGACCGCCGGCGCCGAGCTGAGCTCGAGGATTGTCAGGACTAAGTACGGCGAACTGTCGGGCGTGATCGTTACCCTCGATCGATACCTCGAGGGTGTCGAGGTGTTTCGCGGCGTCCCTTACGCCTCGCCGCCGATCGGCTCCCTACGCTTCATGCCGCCCGTCAGCGGCGCCCTTTGGCACGGCGTGAAGGTCGCCGATAAGTTCGGACCCGTCTGTCCCCAGAAGCTGCCCGAGATCAACGACAAGATGCCCAAGGGCAGAGCGGAGTATCTCAAGAGACTGCTGCCCTACCTCAAGAACCAAAGCGAGGACTGCCTGTACCTTAACATTTATACGCCGGTTCAAGGTAAGCTTCTCACTTCCCTTGTTTCTTTTTTTTTTTGCCCACGTGACACAAGCAGGGCTGTGCTTAGATGGGTTTGAAATTAGTTGAAGGTGAAGATAAAAATAGGTACGCAGTTGAAAAATAAATTTCACAGATACCACATGTCCCAAACGGTTCACAGAAATTTTCGTGTTCATTTAACATGTGTTAAATGGAGACACAAATATTGTGTTAATATTTGAACACAAAATAAATGTAAAACTTCAAATAATTTGAAATAAATTTTATGTAAAATTAACATAATTTTAATGGAAAAGTTAAAATATGTTAATTTTAGATTGATCATTCCCATTTATATTATAAAATAGAAAATCAACATTTTTTTTTGTAAATTTTAACTGAAAAATCTTGTCACTAAGCAGAACATACTTATTATGTAAAATTAAAAATAGATGCACATTGTGTTATTTTTACATTTTTTTCAGTTCTTTTAATAATTTAACATTTAAGTTTAATTAACAGAATAGTAATATGTTAAATTAACACATGAATGTGTTAAATATTATGTGTTAAATAATACAAAAATTTTTACGGGAACCGTTTTTAATAAGAAAACACCATTTTTTTCTACTATGTAAATTCATCTTGCAAGGAAAGTTAGGCAACCTAAAAATTCTAAATATCCATAACACAAAACTATTTTTTGTTCGTGTTGAATTAGAGTCTGAGGGAGTGAAACCTTTCATAAGTAATGGCTTTTTGCTTTTCTCGATATATTTCGAAAATTATTCAAGATATCAAAAAATAGACAAAAGTTTTATGGTAAAAAGACCTCTATTTCATACTACGTTAATAAAATTTTAAAAACATTTTTCAAAATTATTAATCCCCAAAAATTATTTTTTCAATTTTATTAACGTGTTTAAATGGAGGTGTTTTTACTATAAAACTTTTATCTAAAACAGTTTTTGATATTTGGAATAATTTTCGAGATGTATCGAGAAAAGCAAAAAGCCATTCTACTATGAGAGATGGATTTTATCTCCTTAAACCGTAATTCAGCACAAACAAAAAAAAATAGTTTTGTGTTACGGATAAACTACTCTACTTGTACACCAAGTTTCAGAATTTTTTGAATTTCCGTGTTGCCTAACTTTCCTTGTTAGATTAAATGAAGGTGATTTTCTTTAAATCTTTAGATTAAATGGAGGTGATTTTCTTATATCTAGACGAAAGATAAAATTATATGGTGATTTATCTAGATAATTTCAAGATGATATTATTTTTGAGACCGTTTATGTAAACGCAGTTTTTATTATCTATACGTATAAAGATAATACTGCCAAAATTTAATCTAGATGACCATCTACTTATATAATTTTATCTACATAACAAACACTATAAATCAACTATTGAAATAATTGAAAGTTGAAGATGTATACAGGATGTATCTAAATAAGTGCGAAAAATTTTAGATGATTCTTTGTCGAAAATGATGGGAGGTTTCTTATATAAACATATACTCTTATATCCTTTTCCTGAGAAGCTACACTTTTATAAAAAGGAAAATTTAAAAATTAAGTTTTTATTTTAAAAAAATATTAATAAATATTTTTGTTATTAGTGAAGAATATTCACCAAGTTTTATTTTTTAATCTGTCTGAAATTTGTGAAAACAAACTTAATTTAACTTTTTAATTTCCGACAAAGAATCATCTCCTAAAATGTTTTGCATTTTTGCAGATACACCCTGTATAATTACTTACAATTAATCGAGAAATGATTTCGAAGTGCAAACTGATTTACCAAATACAAAAGTCTCTCTCTTTATATATTTGACATCCAATAATACATTAAACATACACAATTAAAATTTAAAAAATTATTATATTTTTCGAATATGATCGCTCGAATACATCGCTTTACATTCGTCAGGGATGCGTGCATTATAAACCGTATATTGTAGTGAAAATATGAAAAACAAATAAAACACGCTAGGATTCATTCATTAGCTTTGAAGCGCCGGTTGATCGGTGCACTTTGATACGCGACTAAATAGTAATCAAGCTGTGGATTTAATTTTATTTTTAAACGGGGGAATCAAACGAGCGCAAAAGGACTCGAAAGGATAAAGTCCTATTATCAGTACACAATTTTCCACGGAAACGGACTCGATAAACGCGTCCATCCATAGCAGAGAGATAATCCCGCATTGGGCGTAGTTTATTTTCCAGATATCCAATTTACTTGTACAAATCGCAACGCGCGATATTCACGCGGTCTTCTCTCTCTCGCTTTTTACTTCGCCTGTAAACTTGTAATCAACACAATAGTTACAAACGCGATGCGCGTTTGATATTGAGTCAAGTTGCAGTGCCCGCCGATCCTGTTTTACAATTCTATTCGCCTTTAGCGAGAAAAAAAAATAGGTGCAACTAACTTGAAATTATTGCACAATATGCGATATAAGGACGCTCATTTCGTGCAAAGTACCGTCGGCTTTCTCCCTTTCATGAAAACCGATGGCAATAATTAATGATTCTCTCTCTTTCTCCATGAATCACAACGTAATTCAGGACTTTAAGATGCGATTTTAAGCAACACACGCGACGAGTTATCCCTTTTGTGTAAAGCTGCATATCCTAGCGCTTTACGCTCGTAAAAGCGGAGATGATAATACAGCTTTTAGCGAAAATTAATAATTTTCCTGCTCCGGGAATATCAACGTAAAATGGAAAATCCCTTCGAGTTTGATTTTTTTAATTAAAAATGCTGCCAGAAATTTTTTATTTATTAGGATAAATCAGATTATATTAGATTAAAGGTTACATTGTAACTATTTGTTTTTACGATACTTTTATATTTTTGATTTTAATTAATTTTGTAAATATTTTAATAAATTTGATTTCGTTTAATTATTTTTTTATTCGAATTTAAATAATATTTTTATATATTAAATATAATATAATATATACAATATATTATCCCAAGGAGAACAGAAATGTCAAAATGATGTCAAAATGTGAACAAAATATGGTCATTTTAGTTCGTCAAAATGACATCAAATTGCATAAAATTTTTGATATGTTATCTTGATGTTCATAATAATAAAAAATTATTATTTTTTATTATTAAAAATTATTGAGATGCAAATTTAAGACATAAGCCGCTTAAAATAATATTTTAATGGACAATTTAGTTTTTAATACAATAACTCAACTCTTCTGCGAACTACAATGATATCTGGATATGAAAAATGTTAACTTTTAATTATCTTCATAATAATAAGCATTGTATATGCACAGTTGAAAAACGTACATCACATTTTCTAAAAATTAAAAAGGTAAAAAGAAAGTCAATATAAAAAGATTATTTTTTTAGTCATCTTCGAGATCGAGATTTCCATAACCAAAAATGACATTTTAGTCAATATGACGTCAAATTGACATCATTTTGACTTTTCTGTTCTCCTTGGGGTATATCACATTTTCTAAGAATTAATATGAAAAGTCATTTTTTAGTCATCTTCGAGATTGAGATTTCCATAACCAAAAAATTACATGAATTTAGTCAATGTGACGTCATTTTGACTTTTCTGTTAATTATATATATATATATATATATATATATATATATATAATTAATTTTTATATAGATGGTAATTTTTTAGTCATCTTCGAGATCGAGACTTCCATAACCAAAAAATTACATGAATTTAGTCAATGTGACGTCATTTTGACTTTTCTGTTAAATATATATATATATATATATATATAATTAATATATAATTAATTTTTATATAGATGGTAACCGCATGTATTTGTCGAGTATACAAAAGTCATCATTAGGAATGTATTTTTCTTACAACGGGAATATTACGGTGAAATCCTTGTGTTACGAACATAACCTTGTTAAATCGGCCAATTATCTCGCGATCTCTGAAAAAGAGGAAAGATGGCCGGGCTCTCTTTGTGTGCGCCGTCTTTTCTCGTTTCTTCTGCACAGTGAACGTGGCCAAAGAAATCCGATCCGTGTCGATTCTTCTGTTTGGCTTTTTCTCGATGACGAAAGCGCCTCATCATATTTCCCGCGAGCGAAAAAGAGTGCATTAATCTCGATATGAGATATATCCAGCTCGAATTGCTTTAATGTTGGAATAAATACAAAGTGAGGCCTGTGGGATGAGAATACGAGCTGATATCAACTTGTGTGACGCGTGTATCGCAAGGCGCAATCTTGTTAGAGAGAAGAAAAAAAATGGTTGGCGTCCCATGCTCTTTGAACACACAATGAAAAAAAAAAAAAAAATGAAAGATTCTTTTGTTACTTTACGAAACACATCATTGATGTATAATTTAATTTCTAGAAAAAAGTATTACGTGCATAAAGTTCATGACATAATTTAATAAATAAAATAAAGGTGCATAATTGAATAAAATGAGATAAAATTATGATGAAATTAAAGTAGATTAAATAATAAAATGAATATATAACAAAACCGCGGGTAATGCAGAATAATAGAAGCTAAATAAATGAAAAACTTATAATTCGCTATTGTGGAGAACAATGTTTGAACTATTCAAATACAAAAAAAAAATCAAGAGAGAGAGAAAAGGAGGGAGGCTTTGAAAAATGTATTCTCCCCTTTCTCTTTCCCATATAACATTTTTTACGGGAGTAGGAAACATATTCTGATAATACGCTCGGGTACTTTTGCATTTTCTTTCCCTTGTAGAGGGTTACATATAGCCCCAAGTAGTGTGGCAAAGTTTTTCACCCGTGTATTGCAATGGTGGCTCGAGTATGCGTGGTGGTGCTACATGATGGGAACTTAATAAGAAACTTTATAATCACCTCGTGCTTAGAGAGATTAAAGCTCGCGAGGAGTAACTTTCCGCGCGGACTTAAGTATCTAAACTAGATAATAGTTTCGAAGCCTAGGCAAGCCGATCAATCTTTGCTGCTCCAGGACCAGATACTTAAAAAATATATAAGCATTAATTCAATTAATTTTATTGTAA